CAAATTCTGTAACAAATATTTGCTGTACTTATAATTTTCCATCTAGGCTTGAGGCTTGTATTAAAATGAGTCGCAACTGAGCCCTTAACTTGCCAACAAATTAGATTAGTAACTTTACTTTCACCACTGATCCCAATTATTGATGTACCTTATACATTGAATTTAAACAGAACAAAGTTGAGGTTTCTTAAACTTTTGTAAACCAAATTAAAATGCTGACTTTAAACATTCCAATGTAGGTCATCACAAGCAACTATTGTGTGAATTGTACACATTATGATCATGTTCATCCTGCAACAATTAGATTTGTTTCACTCAAGGTCTCAAACTGTTTTTTAGACAATGACTCAGAAMATACTGAGGAAWGTTTGGTATTTATTTACAGTCCCTTTTATTTTTATTTTGGCCATTTTTTTCCTTGACTTTTCTCCCTCTTGCTTTATTGTACATAATATAGATATACCTGTAATGAGCTTTTTAGTGATCGTGAACAGTACAAGAACATTAATTACATTACACTGATTTGTGTCCTCCAGCTTACCTCCTCCATTCTTATAGCACAGGTATGGGAATCTCCACACGTTGCCCAGGCCCACCACATTCCCTGCAACTGCCAGAATGTATTCCCTTTTCTTCCTCCACTGTTCCCTCTCTTCCACTTTGGTCTCCATGTCTGTCTTCTCTCCTCAGTCCTCTGAACAGTACTATCACTGCTCACCTCAAGTCATCTGTAGACACCACACTGACTGTAGAGGGCGATACAGCAAGTACAGCAGGTCTAACAAGTGTTTATTAGTTACAATGTCATGAAAATCTTATTGGTACATCTTTTATTGCAAATTAGTTGTGATGTTTCCAGGAACAGGGCTGTGTCATTTTCATATGCCATTTACACAGTTGCAACAATGTGTTGATTTTGCTTTTACTGATTCAAAGCAACAGTAACTTTTACAGAGCAACAGTGCCCTCAACAGTCAAACGTGCCATGGTGATGAATAATTAATGTTGGATTCTGTGTGAGTAATCACTTTCATGTGGAGAAAAAACAAAGCCTATCGATCTGATGAGTGGAGCTCTGACTGTGTAGTCCCAATCACCAAACTGAAACACACCTGGAAAGTGGATACTTCTAATGATTCCTGGCTTCTTCAGCCAGAAGACCTGCTATAACTTTGTTAAGAATTATTGATGTTTTAAATGTTTCCTCAGTAATTCTTGAAGATAAATGTTGTCTTTGATGATTTCTAAGTCTAACTGATCTACAGTTCGGCATTTGTCTTTATATTGCTGGGCCCAATTCTGACTTTAAGCTGCGACTATCAATCAGTTACACAATTATCACAAGGGATCTTACCCGCTTACCAGAGTTAAGCCCAATTCATGCTTCTGTGATGGAACTATGAACGGGGCGAGCATTCACAATTGTGTGTAAGTGTGTGTGTGAGTCACGCTGTAATTACACCACCGAGAACATATTCCTCCTTCAGCTGGAGAATCAACACTAGCAGCAAAAACCCAGACAGACAAAAAATGTCTCTCTTGTGAGTGGCCAAATCACTCAATGATGGATTATCAGTTCATCAACTGGGGCCAATCAGATATTACTACTGCTCCATAAAGGTATTTTAAACAAATTCTGCAGTGGGCCTAACCAATCCAAGAATGCCCTACAAAGAGTTTGCACAGCCTGACTTCTTTCAGCGTGAACTGCAAATAACAAAGTGCAGAGCCAAGGGCAAAGCTGACAAAAACAGAAAACTCCAGGATCCCTTAACCTCAGGGAATAATGTGTCGTTTCTGTCGCATGAAGCTTATACAGGATCCAAACAGCAAACACATTAACACAGGGTTTCCAGGAGTGGCAGGAAAATACATTTACTGCCAAGCTAATGTCCTTGACCTCTACAAAGACAGAGGAATGACAAAAGAAATGACATGGAGGGAGCTTCTTGATTCTATGACATGGAAAAGTAAACATTGGCCACAGAGAGAAGGAAATAGCATTTTGGAGATGTTCTGAAACTGTAAAAATGTCCTGCAGTAATTGAGCATCAGCAAATAAAGACCTGTGATAGCGCTCAGTCCACAGAACCCTGAAGCCACAGCTGCTGCAGAAAGTGCTATTCACCTGTTTGATCAAAGTCCTGTGAAGCTCGACTCAGTACGCAGAACCAAAACTGGACAATCAGTTGTTGTTGCTGTTGTCGTGAAAGCGCTGTTTCTATGATCGACATCATTTAAGTTGATGAATCCCAGCCGCTGCTGCTACAGAACGCCGGTCACCTGTTTATTAAAATCATCAAATGCATCATGTTTCCAAATCACACCAAAGATTTGAGAAACATTCACTGACCGACCAACAAAATTTCTGGAATTATCCAATAG